AGTCTCATTTACCAACCTCTGACTCAAAGGATAGGGCGCAATGTGAGCGCACTTGTGTTTTTGACTGTGTCCTTGGAAACCCAATTCTAAAAGAAGACACCGAGACGCTTACCTATATTATGACATGCGCATGAATTATTGTGAGGGCTTATGACTATTTTAAAAGTGATGAGTTGAAAACGAAGGACATGTTTGAGACAACGTTTCAACTAAGAACTCAAAACTCTATTGTAACCACTTGAAAAGTCATCTCAAGTTGAACCAAAGATTCGTGATGAATGGAGGATATAAGGTTGTTTAAGCCTCTACGTTCACATGGCAAAAACGATGACCAAAATTGATAGTTATTTATTATTTATTTAATACTCGTTGATTTTGTTAATTTTTATTTAATGAACTTAAAATAAAATAAAATACCACGGCCAAAATGTCAAACGAATCAAAATTTCAAAATAGTTACTTAAATTCGTTTTTATCCTTAAATTTATGTCGATTTTTATTCTAAATTTCTAATTTCTTTCCCGAGGTGTTTCAATTTTAAACTTAAATTAAGAGTGTAATGTAAATTTCCCTCTATGATTAAGTTTATTTGTTTATTTATTATTATTATTATTTTTTATAAATTATGTTAAAAAGGTATTTTTATTTGTATTCAATTAATTATAAACATTTTACCCGCAGAGATCTACCAAAACAGCAGAGATCTACCAAAACCGAGATGGGATTCCTGGTTAGACATAAAATAGGAGAGAGAGCGGACATTATTTTTCTGTGAGATGAATAGGGTCATAAACGAGATTATATTTTCCATCCCCTTCTTGCTCCGTTTAATATAAATATATTTCACTTCATTTTTAAATGATGACGACACAGCTAACAATGAGTACCATAACGATACGACTAAAACTACAACTCACCTCTACGTCAGAAAAGAAGAACTCATAGAGTAGAAGTAATTAATTGGTTTAAAAATGATCTCAAACACTTCCATATGGATCTAAGTTAAAACTGCAGTCCTAATGAGATAACTCTTTAGAGGTGTGTGATACGTGAATTTGTTATAACTATAACTTAGGGTTCGTTTGGAATGACTTTTTAAGCACTTGAAAAGTCATTCCAAATAAACCTCGGTGGAAACACATGATTTAGCAGTAACCTTGCTTGTATGAGGGATACCGTTAATAACCTTGGTCGTGACTCCAACAAGATTAATCTATAGGTGAGTGACCAATCTAAACATAATTCAGCCAAAAGGTTAGAAGTTCAAATCTCGCCTAAGAGTCTCTCTAATTACTTGTCCTTGGTTAATGTAGGTTCCTGCAGATCTGGTGATTCACCATTCAGTAGAGGTTGACACGGCAAGATCAGAAAAGGCTGTGAAAAAAAAAAAAAAAAAAAATCCACAACATGCTCATTGTTCCTCCTGGTCAGGAATAGTCCATCACAAACTACAGTACCTCGATTTTAAGAATAGGAGTGTTCAAAAAACCCGACAAATTAGAAAATCACACTCAGATTGAGTGAGATACATTTGTTGAGCTAGCAAATCCTTTTAAGTTGGGTTGATTCATGTTTCATCGAATTGGTTATATCCAATCACGGGGTAAAGTTGAGAAAATTTTTGATCCAACTAAATCCAATCAATGAATACCCCTAATGAAGGTGTGATTAGGAGGTTGTTTGGGCATGGTGTTATTGGGACTAATTCACACACCATCGTGACGGATGGGTGGGTTTGTAACATCCCAAGCTCACCACTAACAAATATTGTTCACTTTGGCTTGTTACGTAATACTGACAGCCTCACGGTTTTAAAACGCGTCTACTAGGGAGAGGTTTCCACATCCTTATAAGGAATGCTTCGTTCTCCTTTCTAATCAATGTGAAATCTCACAATCTACCCTCTTGGGGACCAGTGCCTTTGCTAACACGCTCTCAGGTGTCTAGCTCTAATACCATTTGTAAAAACCCAAGCACTGTTAGCAAATATTGTCTGTTTTGACCTATTAAGTAATGCTATCAGCCTCACAATTTTAAAATGTATTTACTATGGAGAGGCTTCCACACACTTGTAAAAAATGTTTCGTTCTCCTCTCCAACCAATGTGGGATTTCACAGTGTTGTTGGCTCGGGAGTTGGTGGTATAGATAATTCTTGCCTTATATGCAATCTTGTATTTATTCTATGGCGTAATCGATTAACATTCACCGGAAATTAGAATTTAGTTTTTGTAATTTTCTATTAAAAGTCGAAGAAAGGGACTAAGAGAGTTGAATTGTTCTTACAATGATAGGGTACACACGATGGCACAGTTTGAAGATCCTCTTCTTAGATGTAAGCCACTTTTTGAACATTAATGACAAATTTTGGGTAGGTTGATGAAGCAATTCTAAACATATGTTTTATAAGTGATGGCTCACATGAATAGGTAGTTGGGTTGGGGCAATTATGAACAAATACTTCAACCACCCCTCAAAATAAATAAATAAGGTGTCGTTTACTCGCTTTTACCCTTTTTTTACTTTGTACTTTTGAAACAAAAGTAGATAACAAACCGAACAATTTGTTAACTCAAATGCAATGAAAACATGGAGAGTGTAATGACCCAAGTTCACCGCTAGTAGATATTATCCTCTTTGAACTTTTTCTTTCGAGCTTCCCCTCAAGGTTTTTAAAACGCGTCTACTAGGGAGAGGTTTTCACACCCTTATAAAGAATGCTTCGTTCTCCTCCCCGACCAATGTGAGATCTCACAATTACCATTTGTAACATCCTAAGCCTACCGCTAGCAGATATTGTCCTCTCTGAGCTTTCCCTTTTGGACTTTCCCTCAAGATTTTTAAAATGCGTCTATTAGGGGGAGACTTCCACATCCTTATAAAGAATGCTTCCTTCTCCTCCTTGACTAATGTGGGATCTCACAATTACCATTTCTAACGACCTAAGCCCACCGCTAGCAGATATTGTCCTCTTTGGACTTTCCCTTTCGGACTTCCCCTCAAGATTTTAAAACTCGTATACTAGGGGAGGCTTCCACATCCTTATATAAAATGCTTCTTCTCCTCCCCGACCAATGTGGGATCTCATAATTACCATTTGTAATAGTCCAAGCCCACCGCTAGCAGATATTGTCCTCTTTGGGCTTTCCCTTTCGAACTTCCCCTCAAGATTTTTAAAACGCGTCTGCTAGGGGGAGGTTTCCACATCTTTATAAAGAATGCCTCATTCTCCTCCCCGACCAATGTGGGATCTCACAAGTACCTTGTAACCGTCTAAGCCCACCGCTAGCAGATATTGTCCTCTTTGGGCTTTCCCTTTCAGATTTCCCCTCAAGGTTTTAAAACGTGTCTGCTAGGGAGAGATTTCCACGCCCTTATAAAAAATGCTTTGTTCTCCTCCCCAACCGATGTGGAAGGTTTGAAAATATGTAGAGATCTATGTATCCTCATATTCTTACTTCATTGTCGGCTCTTCAAAATCATTAGCCCTTCTAGTTAATCATAAAGGGAGAAAGAAAAAGGAACCTGATTTTTCTTAAGCTGGACCTCCAATCCTAGCACAATGCTTGGAGCTGCTTTGGTTGCTAAGAAAGCTTGTGAGCTTGGTTTAGAGGTGTGCAACATTTTCCCTCGTTTCTACCTCCTTGTGTTGCCTGCATCAATAATTTATTTCAGTAAGACAATGGAAACCAAAATGAAACGTTTAATTAAACATATTCCCAAACGTACCCGAGATATTCGGCCTTCTGTACAGGTTAAGCCTTGGATAAAGACCAGTCTTGCTCCAGTTTCAAGAGTAGTAACCAAATACTTTGAACAGAGGTGCTCACTATCAAACTCCCCAAATGCTCGAGTTTTTCTCTCTTTTTCTGGTTTGCCTTGTTGTACGAATGATTATATTTCTCCAGTCAAGAATTGGATTTCTGAAGTGGATTGCCGATGTATTTAGATCAGCTGGGGTTCAGTACTGTTGGATATGATTGCTTTGAAAAGTTTAGTTGGTCCCATTTGTACCCTTTGGCCTCTCTAGCTCAGGTAAGCAATCGAATTGCTAATATTGTACACTAGCAGATATGGTAGCAGCGGCCGTTCGATCCAGAAACAGGAACTTAAAGGGTCGTGTACATTCTTTGACGAGGGTCAATTATCTGACTCTCCTCTCTTGTGAGGATATTTGCTAAAACCATCACCATCACACCTAAATGGTGATGAAGTTCTCTATTTATAATCAGCAAATAAATTACAAAGGAAATGGAAAGAGCACTAAATGGATACAAGATATTTGCCTATAATAAAAGGTCAAATATGGTACCTATGGTAAACCATAATGGAAGGCTAAATATCCTTAACACCCTGGTGGTTGCCTATGCTCTTAGCTGACACGATAAGGTTTAGATGGTCTAAATTAACAACTCACGTATTTTGTTCCTTACACTATGTGATAAGAAATTAGTTCAGCACACAAAACTGGGTCATTAACAAGGCCAACATAGATGGTCAAATTATCCGAATGTTGGAGATACTTTGTGGAGGGCATTTCTCTTCTTATTGTGCATGATAACAATCAGGATCTCCACGTTTCTACAATAGAGATATAAGCATCCAAGATATGAAGAAAATTTCCTTTTGTATTCCAGCTCATGTGTATGTCAAAGGATTCAAAGGGTTGATGGAATGGAAGAAGACAAGTGACAACCCTGTCAATGCCTTCCCCTTTCCAGTGTCCAGAAAATATAAGGACAACCCTCCCCTTTCACTTGAATTGCATTCTTTTTGCCTAGCAGGGCTTAAACTAGGAGTTAGTCCAACTATTTCAGCAGCCACTGGGCTGGATGCCATGCATTTAGCTGCTTTTACTTGCTTAAGCCATGCTAATCAGACTTCTTTTTATCAGAGATTATAGATAACTACAGGATGAGAGAATAAAAGACATGTTTCCTAAGCAAAGCTTTTTTGGATTACTAAAAAGATGAACATGGAGATAAAGAATGAACAGATTGCTGCAATAGTAAACGAGAATATTTCACAAGCATTCGATTGAAGTTCCAACTTATTTGTACAGTATGGTGTATTGATGATGCAAACAATATTCACAGATCCCAGGGCAGAAACAACCATCTATGATCTATATAAAAGTTGAAAAAACAGACACAAATTCATAGAACTTTTCAAACCCTAATGCGCGATAATCAATATATTTCAACTCTCAGAGGAAATCCGAAGCTCCTTGATCTTGAATCTGTATCTAGGAGCTCGGGGAATAACCTGGCTAGGTCCGAAGTGGTACTGACCAGGACTATCGGTGAGAGGAGGCCCATCGTCGTAAACATAGCCGACGAGACGCGCACATGAATTGCACTTGATCTTGGTGCGATTCCGCTGGATTCCCCAATAGTTGACGGTCTCGAAGAATGGCCGGAGCTTGTCCTCTTTCTCGAGCCTGAACTTGGTGGAGTCGATCAAGGAAAACGAAAGCGTGCCCTTGTTTCCGGCCTCGAAATAGAAATCCGGCGGGAAGAGATGACTGGAATTCAGATTCAGATTTGCTCCGCATTCTGCACAACAATAGATGGAAGCCATTGTTGACGAGAAATTCAGAGGATTCGTCAGAGATTTTGGGCTGTATGTAACAGGATTTAAAAATCTGATCACTACATCGTATGCCCCAAGTTTGAAACGAAGATTGAATGAAGGTTCCTCATACAAAATCGTTGACTTTTTTTGACTGCAAATAACAAAGTCGTCGTCGTCGTTTTCTTAGCTGTAATATATATATATATATATATATTAAAAAAAAATATATAATTAAAAAAAAAAAAGACATTAAACGATCTTCGAACCCATAAAACTTAATAAAAATTTGAATATAATATATAAATTTTGTTTAAAATTTTTGAATATAATATAATTTTATTTAATTTTTATTTATTTTTAAAATATCCTTTATTTAAATTTCCTCGTAATCTTTTTCTCCAGTTTCGACAATCTAAATAGATTTATATATTTAATTAATTCAAATATATTTTTTTGAACGACAAAATATTTATTTGATAGAATAATATTTGGTAGGAAGTGGAGTGAATTAGATGTATTAAAATTTTTTGTTTATTTTTAAAATAATTTAAGATTGTTTTAGATGAATTAAATTATTTATTATTTACCATAAATTCAAAATTTTTTAAAAAAGAAATAATGTTGAACAAGATAGAATTTAAACAAATTCACAATTCAAATATTTAATAAATTAATGAAAAAAAAAGATAAAAAGATAAAAAGATAAAGGTCAAAATAGTAATTTGGTGGGCCGCCCAAAGGACCTGTTCGTCTATAAATAGGTCTCTAGGGCATCGAGTCTCGGTTGATTTGAGGCTCTCTTCCAAGAGGGTTTGGGGGAGAGAAATTGCCGTCGATCTCTTTTTGAGTAGCAGCAAAGAACCAAAAGGAAAACAAACTGAAAACTCTTCTGAAATTCGAAGTTCGAATCCAAATAATTCCATCTGAACAAGCCCAAATTTCGCTTTTGATCTCTTCAACTTTCTCTAGGGCTTCCTTTCTGCACTTCGATCGCCATGGATTTGCGATTCCCTTACTCCCCGGCAGAGGTTGCCAAAGTCCAAATGGTTCAGTTTGGCATTCTTGGTCCCGACGAGATTGTAATTCTCTTCACATCGCCTCAATTTTTTTTTTGTTTTTTGTTTTTTTTTTTGTTTTTTTGTTTTTGTTTGATTCTGTTTTAATGTGAGGGGTCGTTCGGGGGTGAGGAATGCTTTACATATGTATGAACTGGTTCTACTTTAGGAAGTGGCTCAGTTTGGTTTTTGCAGCTCGTTCTGCTTGTTTTTGATTAATTGGATATAGAGATGGATTTTTGGTTAGACTTCCACGGTTTTCCATTTGATTAGTTGGGGACCTTGGCAATGTTCTTTTCTCGTCTATTAGTTCTGGTCTCTTATTCATTGAAACGCATTGCTTTAGGTAGTCATATTTGGTTTCTTCTCTCAAATTTTAAATGAGATTTTACTTTTGGAAGTAAAAGTTCAAAATTATTATGTGTAATTGTTTTTGTTTTTGAATAATTGGAAATAGGACATGAGAAGCTAGATTCTTTTTGTATGTCAATGTTTCTTTAAATGAGAAGTGGGAAATAGAATCTGCTTCAAAATGCATATGTTTCCTGAGAAAGGAAAGAGGCCATGAGAAATAAAAAATGAAAATTTTTGAGCAACTACCCTTCGGTATCTAAAACCATATTCTTTGGATTGCAGAGGCAAATGTCCGTGGTGCAGATTGAGCATGGTGAAACTACGGAGAGGGGTAAGCCAAAAGTAGCCGGTTTGAGTGACCCGCGACTTGGTACAATTGATAGAAAATTGAAGTGTGAAACTTGCACTGCAAATATGGCTGAGTGCCCTGGGCACTTTGGGCACCTTGAGCTTGCTAAGCCAATGTTTCATATTGGATTTATGAAGACCGTTCTCACCATCATGCGTTCTGTTTGCTTCAATTGCTCAAAGATTCTCGTTGACGAGGTTAATTCTTAATACTATATTTGATGCTTTCTGGATTTGTTTTCTTTTATTCTATTCTTCAGCAAATTAGAAATTCACGGCACACATTATGAAGGATTCCAGAAGACTGCATAGGATTACATTGGCTAGGACTCTTATGGTGTTAGACCATGTAATTAGTTTGTTACAATTTTTAAGAGTAAAGTGGAAAAGATAATTGGGATATATCTTTTGATGTTGGGATAATGCGAATTTGGGTATAGGTGATCATTATCTTATTGAGTTATTCTAGCCTTTATATGGAAATAGTCGATTTCCCTCAGCAAATTCATTTATCATCTTTCAGGACGACCCCAAGTTTAAGCAAGCAATGCGGATAAAGAATCCCAAGAACAAGCTAAGAAAGATTTTGGATGCCTGCAAGAATAAAACCAAGTGTGAAGGTGGAGATGAAATTGATGTCCAAGGTCAAGACCCAGATCAACCGGTCAAAAAGGCTCGGGGTGGCTGTGGTGCTCAGCAGCCTAAGATCTCAATTGATGGTATGAAAATGGTTGCAGAGTACAAGGCTCAAAGGAAGAAAAATGATGATCAGGAGCAGCTACCTGAACCTGTGGAAAGAAAACAGACACTTAGTGCTGAAAGGGTGACCATTTTCAATCCCAATTAACATTATTTTTTGTAATTAATTTTGTGCGTATCTCTTCCATGAGGTTATAGTTTGATGTATTCTTGTAGGTTCTTGGTGTTCTGAAAAGAATAAGCGATGAGGATTGCAAACTCTTGGGCCTAAATCCGAAGTATGCCCGGCCTGACTGGATGATTCTGCAAGTCCTTCCAATTCCTCCACCTCCTGTGAGACCATCGGTTATGATGGACACCTCATCTAGAAGTGAGGTATGTCTGCTCTGCTTTTGTTTTCTGATGTCTAATTGTTTCTTATTTGTTTACTGCTTCCCAATAAAATTCATTTTACTTTTCTAGTTAGTTTCTGAGATAGTGTTACGATTCTTTTGACAATGTTAGAGACAATTTTAATATGATATCTCTTACTGCAGGACGATCTAACTCATCAGTTGGCTATGATTATAAGGCACAATGAAAACCTCAGGAGACAAGAGAGAAATGGTTCTCCTGCACATATCATTTCAGAGTTCGCACAACTATTGCAGTTTCATATAGCCACGTACTTTGATAATGAATTACCGGGACTACCCAGGGTATTGTCTCTTTTTAAGCTAGATCATGTTTTTTTTCGAACTATTTATTTTTTTTTACATTAGTGTGCTGCTTTAATATAGGCTACACAGAGGTCTGGGAGGCCCATTAAATCTATTTGTAGTAGGCTCAAGGCAAAGGAAGGTCGGATAAGAGGAAACTTGATGGGGAAGCGTGTAGATTTTTCAGCACGAACCGTTATAACACCTGATCCAACAATTAATATTGATGAACTGGGAGTACCGTGGAGTATTGCTTTGAACCTTACATATCCCGAGACCGTGACACCATATAACATAGAAAGGTCCATGTTTTTGAAATCATTGCTCGCTTTTTGATTCTTTCCCTTTCACAATATTTATTGTTTGCTCTTTGTTTCTCTTTTCAACATCAGGTTGAAGGAACTTGTTGAATATGGTCCCCACCCTCCACCTGGTAAAACTGGTGCCAAGTACATCATACGGGATGATGGGCAGAGGCTTGATCTTAGATATCTTAAAAAAAGTAGTGATCATCATTTGGAGCTTGGGTACAAGGCAAGATTTTCTAATCATGCATGAAATCTAATAATTTTAGGCATTTTATAACTCCTACCTGATTATTTGCTGCTGTGATCATAGGTGGAGCGTCATTTGAACGATGGTGACTTTGTACTTTTTAATCGTCAGCCTAGTCTCCATAAAATGTCTATTATGGGACACAGAATCAAGATTATGCCGTACTCTACTTTCCGTCTAAATTTATCTGTGACGTCACCTTACAATGCTGATTTTGACGGTGACGAAATGAATATGCATGTTCCTCAGTCATTTGAGACAAGGGCAGAAGTATTGGAGCTCATGATGGTTCCCAAATGCATTGTGTCACCTCAAGCAAACCGTCCTGTAATGGGTATAGTGCAAGATTCTTTGTTAGGATGCCGTAAAATTACAAAAAGGGACACCTTTATAACGAAGGTGAGAGTAATATGTTTGTTATCTCTTGTGCTTATAGTCTTCAAACATATTTTTCTGTTGTAAGTTGGGATTATGAAATTGCGTCAATAAATTTGCAGGATGTTTTCATGAATATCTTGATGTGGTGGGAAGATTTTGACGGGAAAATTCCTGCCCCAACAATTTTAAAGCCACAACCTCTTTGGACTGGAAAACAAGTTTTTAATCTTATTATACCAAAGCAGATTAATCTCACGAGAACTTCTGCTTGGCATTCTGAGTCAGAAACTGGGTTCATAACTCCTGGGGATACTTTTGTTAGGATTGAGAAGGGGGAACTACTTACTGGAACTCTTTGCAAGAAGGCGCTCGGATCATCAAATGGAAGTCTTATACATGTTATTTGGTAAGCATTAGCAGTAGTGATATGCCTGCTTTTCACAAGGATGTGGTCTGTAATCATCACCATTATCATCTCTTAAAATGTATTTGCACTCATTTTTAAAGTCATGGTAGTTGCTATGTTCATTTTTTAAAAAGATCTGTTCTGACTTGTTTGACTAATTAGATATGTCTTCATCCCATTAAAAAAAGAAAAAAAGTTCTGCTTTTGGGTTGCAGCTTTCAGAAGGTATGCCACTTAGGGATGGAGGTTGGCGTTTCAAAAATCACGTTCTTCCGTTTGGGTTGACTAAATTAAGGATCTTAATAATCTTCTAAAAAAAATTGACAAATGCCTTTTATTATCATTTTTATAAAACTGTAGCTCAATTTTTAAATTCACATATTTTTTCTTTTAAAATTTATTTATTATACTAAAACACTTTGTCTATATTTTATTTTCCATTTAACTCTCTGGGAACTGCTTTTCCAAAACTTTCCAAACCGGCTTTTGTAAGGCCTCCGATTCCCTTCTCTTCTTTGTTGTTTGTAGAGAAGTTGCCTTCTGTTTTGTGTAACGTTCATTTTTTTGTCCCGTTTCTAATCATCTTAATGTTTTCAGGGAGGAGGTTGGTCCAGATGCAGCACGAAAATTTCTGGGTCATACTCAATGGCTTGTTAATTACTGGCTCTTA